CTGGTCTCAGGGATGCTGTGGTTGGTTTAGGGCCTCCTGGGGCTACAGGTGTGGGGAAGTCCTGCAAGATGGGGGTGGGGGTGAGGGGCAAGTCTTTGCCTTGATAGGTACATTCCCAGCTGCAGGTGACCACAGACAGGATTGGTTCTCTGGCTGGGGCAGCCTGGGACAGTGAGCCAGGCCTGTTAAAGAGCCCATGAAAGGGCAGACCGGGAAATGTAAACAGAGACGGGGCAGCGGAAGGCCAGGGCAGTAGGTGCCCGCAGGAGGATGGAGGGTGTGTCTCCTGGAGGTGGAAGCAGGGCACCTCTTGGGCGATGCAGGCCGGAGGACGGTGTCCCAGGCAGTGGGCAGGGAAGCGCCCCCATCTCTTCTCAGGCAGACGCCCCTTACCCCTGGGAAGGGGATCGGGTTGTTGACTGTGGAAATGCAGGCTTGGGGCCTCAGCGGCCCTATCTTTAGCGACCCCGTTAGGCCAGACACGAGTGGGTAGGGGGAAGGAGACGGAGACACAGGTAGGTAGTCCTCAGGGTGACCGGGCGCGGGCCGGGCGGGGAAGTGGGGGGGCCCTGGGAAAGGGGTACCTGTTGGGCGCCGGGGTCTGGGTTGCCCCCGCCCAGCCTGGCCAGCCCCTGGCGCAACTCGTTCACGTCCACGCGGCCATCCTTGTTACTGTCCAGCTCCTCGAACAGGCGACCCCAGCGCTGCCGCCGCTCCGCGTCGCCCGGGCTCCCCCGCATGGCGCCCGCCCGGGGGGGAGGGGAGGCCCGGCAGCGGCGGCCTCAGCGGGGGCTTCGCGGCTCCCCCTCCCCCCCGGGACCCCGCAGGGTCAGCTCCCGCGGCTGCCGGGTCCGCAGCCTCCGAGCAGTCCGCTCGGCTCTGGCGCTTGCGGGAGGTGGCGACTGCAAGCCGTCGCCGCCGGCGCCAGAACTTGCGTCTCCTCCCCCGACCCGCTTTGGGGGGAGGGGACCGAGGGCGGAGCTGGAGGCGTTGGGAGGGAATGTCTGGGATGCTCTGGCATGGCACAGCCGAGGGAGCACCAGAGTTCCTTTTGGGAAGAGGGGCTAGGGAGCTCAGTGGTCTCGGGGGTGCCTCAGTTTACCCTTTCCCCTTTACGCAAGGGGGCGAGGTAGAGCGCTGCCGGGGATTAGGTTTTATAATCCCCTTCCACTTGACCCTCCCCCGCAACCCCGCCCCTAATCTTCAGGAATTCAAGTTCTCGCTTTTCCCAGACGCACGCAAGAACCCTGCACCATCTAGCTCTCTCTCGGCCCGCCCGCGCCTGGCACCTTCCCCGCTCCGCGGCAGAAACAGAAGATCAAGGCGCGGTGCGCTCCCACGGTCCCTTCCTCCCGCTTGCGCGCCTCCTTTCTCGGTCCCACTCGGACTGGGAACCAGAAGATCAATATGCGGCGCGGCTGCAAAGTCGGCTTCCGATTGGCCAGCGCCGCCAAAGCTGAGCCCGCACGCCCCGCCTCTCCCCCACCTGGGCGGGGCCTCAGCGCTGACCCCCGGCAGCCTCGGGCCCGCAGTCCCGCCGCCTGCCCGGAGATCTTAAAGGGGCCGCGGCCGTATTCAGACGCTGAGTGACACGGGGAGGAGATGGCTCAGTGTCCCTTGCGCGACTGGGGTTGAGGATCCCGGTGGTCAAGTGCTGGAGGCGGAGCCCCAGGCTGTCGCTCTGGTTGCACCTGCGGAAGGTCTCTACTACTAGTTTCAGGCGCAGTTTCTCGATCCACCATTAGGGGGAAGGTAGCACAGATCACTTGACAGCGAATAATAACAACAAAAGCTCACTTTGATTCAGTGCATTGCACGTGCCAGGGCTTTTACTCACCTCTCGCGTCGTCCTTGCCCAAACCCTATAAGGTAGCTGGAACTGGGTTCCCACTTTGCAGATAAGGAAATGTTCTGATGCCCACTAAGAGGCAAAGTAGGGGGTTTAAAGAGGTCTGGGATCTTTACCCATCACTCTATATCCTAGAAGGAATTTTTTTTTTTTTTTTTTTTTTTTTTTTTTTTTTTTTTTTTGAGACGGCGTCTCACTCTGTCACCCAGGCTGGAGTGCAATGGCGCGATCTTGGCTCACTTCAACCTCGGCCTCCCGGGTTCAAGCGATTCTCCTACCTCAGCCTCCCAAATAGCTGGGATTACAGGTGCCAGGTAAGTTTTGTATTTTTAGTAGAGATGGGGGTTTTGGCCGGGCGCGGTGGCTCACGCCTATAATGCCAGCACTTTGGGAGGCCGAGGCGGGTGGATCACGAGGTCAAGAGATCGAGACCATCCTGGTCAACACGGTGAAACTCCATCTCTACTAAAAATACAAAAAAAATTAGCTGGGCATGGTGGCGAGTGCCTGTAGTCCCAGCTACTCGGGAGGCTGAGGCAGGAGAATTGCTTGAACCCAGGAGGCGGAGGTTGTGGTGAGCCGAGATCGCGCCATTACACTCCAGCCTGGGTAACAAGAGCGAAACTCCATCTCAAAAAAATAAAGAGATGGGGGTTTCACCATATTGGCCAGGCTGGTCTCAAACCTCTGACTTCAGGTAATCCTCCCGCCTCAGCTTCCCAAAGTGCTGGGATTACAGGTGTGAGTCACCACGCCTGGCCTGGTGTAATTATTCATCAATCATCACTCATCAGCGAACAATCCTCAGGAGGGGGTCTTGTTATTATCATCATGCTTTATCCAAAGATACAGGATTGGCCAGGCTAAATGGCTTAGGCTCTAATTCCAGCACTTTGGGAAGACAAGGTGGGAGGATCACTTGGAGTCAAGAGTTCAAGGCCAGCCTGGGCAATAGCAAGACCTCCATCTCTACAATAATAATAATAAATTTTTAAAAAGAAAGAAAGCAAACAAAGATATATCCGTGAGAGCACATTTGGTTCACGCCCAGCCTCTGCCTAGACAGGTGTGCTGGAACAGGTGTACCCCAGACAAATGAGGCTCCTCTAAGGGGCTCCCCAGTAGATGTTTTTAATCACAGTTGTTCCCTCCATGTGCCATACAAAACAGAGAGCTACGGAGATGTTTTCCATGTACGTGCCCCCAAAGAGGTATTTTCTTACAGATGCATTTTGACAGGTGGGACTCAGTATATGTGAGCCACTGCCCTGCTGGTTTTACCCACAGATGTGCAGCCATGTGAATGTGCCTCATGCAGATGTTCCAAGTTCTTCCCCTCATCTGAGCTCAATTTCATACAGGTGTTCCTACTCCAAGGCACTTTCTCTTACCTCACAGGTATGTTTCTGAACAGGTTTCCCTCCACCCATGAATGCATTCTACAGTCTCCCTCCCCATAGGTGTGTTTCAGTTAACATACACCCACCTGGGTATGTTTCCATATAACCGAGTCCCATACAGGTATACTTAAATGCAGGTGTGTCTCATACAGGTATTTACAAGACACTGACACCCAAGAATTCCCCAGTACAAGTGCTGTACATTTCATAGGTGAGCCATGCAGATGTGTTCCCAAAACAATTCTGTCCCACACCAGAGTGCCTTATGTTTGTGATAATGCAAGTGTGTTCTATAGAGATGTTTTCCACCCTGGTATGTATCCATTTTCTTATATTTCATATAGATGTAATTCAATGCAGATTTTTTCTTTTGAGATGGAGTTTCACTCTTGTCATCTAGGCTGGAGTGCAATGGAGCAGTTTCGGCTCACTGCATCCTCTGTGTCTGGGGGTTCAAGACATTCCCCTGCTTTAGCCTCCCGAGTAGCTGAGATTACAGGTGCCCGCAACCACACCCAGTTAATTTTTTTTTTTTTTTTTTTTTGAGATGGAGTCTGCTTTGTTGCCCAGGCTGGAGTGCAGTGGCATGATCTCGGCTCACTGCAACCTCCACTTCCCAGATTCAAGCGAGTCTCCTGCCTCGGCCTTCCCAGTAGCTGGGATACTGGCGTGTGCCACCACACCCGGCTAATTTGTTATTTTTAGTAGAGACGGCTTTCACTAGGTTGGTCTTGAACTTCTGACCTCATAATCTGCCTGCCTCGGCCTGGGATTACAGGCGTGAGCCACCATGGTTAGCCAGATGTTTTCTGTATGCTCTTCTTATATGTGGACGCCCGTATAGGAGTCTTCTGTACAGGCTTGGTTCCCCACAGGTCTCAAGAGACGGTCTCATTTTGTTACCCAGGCTGGAATACAGTAGTACAATCATAGTAGACTCACTGTAACCTCCACTCCTGGGCTCAATCGATCCTCCCATCTCAGCCTCCCAAGTAGCTGGGACTACAGGTGTGCGCCATCACGGCCGGCTAATTTTCTTCTTCTTCTTTTTTTTTTTTTTTTTTTTTTTGTAAAGATAGGGCTTCCCTATGTTGCCCAGGCCGATCTCGAACTCCTGGCCTCAAGTGATTCTCTTGCTTTGGCCTTTCTAAGCACTGGGATTACAGGATCACGTCACTCTGGCGCCGGGCTTATTTTCTTCTTCTTTTTTTTTTGTAGAGGCAGAGGTCTCTACAAAAGCTTGTGTTACCCAAGCTCATCTCGGACTCCTGGCTTCAAGCGATCCAAAGCGCTGGGATTACAGGATCACTGCTCCCGACTTCTTTTCTTTTCTCTTTTTTGTAGAGAAAGAGGTCTTGCTGTGTTGCCCAGGTTGGTCTCCGACTCCTGGCCTCAAGCAAATGCCTCGGCCTCTCAAATGCTGGGATTACAGCGTGAGTCATTGCGCCTAGGCAGGTGTTTTTTGACGTTAAGCACTCCCCATCCAAGTCTGCCCTAGGCAAGAATGCCTCGTGCACGGGTACTTACTGACATACTCCTTGCGTCTCCACACCTGTGCGCTCCTACAAATGTGCTTGCAATGCAGGTGTGAGGTCCTCCTTACACCTGCTCGCCTTCGCCGTCTCCCTCCCCGCATCCCCCTGACGGGACTGGGTTCCCGTTACAGGTGCGCCCGCAGCGCGGCCCCGCCCCTTTCTTGGCTCCGCCCTCTCATCAAGACTCAGGTGCACAAGCCGGAAGTGCGCTCTCCTCCCAGGTAAGTGACTAAACTTTCCGGGTCACGTGAGCGGGCGGAGCCGGTGGGATCGGACCGAAAGCCCGACCGACGGACTGAGGGTTCGAGGGAGGGACACGGACCAGGAACCTGAGCTAGGTCAAAGACGCCCGGGCCAGGTAGGAAGGCAGGACGCACCGCTAGGCCTGCCCCCCTCGTCCCCCCACCCTCCCCCGTCCCGTCCCGTCTCCTTCCTTTTCCGAGCCCAGGAACGCGCTCCCTGGAGTTAATCTTTAATCGCTGACCTCTGGCGGCTGGTGCGGGGCGGAACTCATGGGTGCCCTGGCGCCAGTGTCCAGACCCCAATCCTAACGCCCGGGCCTCTCTCCTTCCCCGGCTCCCAGGTGCCCCGTCGCAGGTGCCCCCGGCCGGAGATGCGGTAGGAGGGGCGCGTGCGAGAAGCCCCTTCCTCGGCGCTGCCAACCCGCCACCCAGCCCATGGCGAACCCCGGCCTGGGGCTGCTTTTGGCGCTGGGCCTGCCGTTCCTGCTGGCCCGCTGGGGCCGAGCGTGGGGGCAAAGTAGGTACCGGCTGAGAGCTCTGGGGGGAGGGGTCCGGATTCCTGGGTCTCTGCTGGGGAATGGCTTAGAAGCGCTGGGTATCTGAGGCACAGAGAGGGTCAAGAATTGGGGAGCGGGCAATACCTTGGGGAGGGGTCTACGGATTAGGGGTGTGGGGGTTAGGATTTCTAGTTTCTTCTTTGGACAGTGGGAGTTGGTCCAAGAGACCCGAGTTCCTGGGTGGGGTGGAATTGTGTGTTGGAGTGGAAGTTCGTAAGTAGGACTTAGGGGAAGGTAAGGGCTGTGTACTTGAGTCTTGGGATAGTGCAGGTGTTTTGGGTGAACTGGGAGCTGGGAGGAAAGTCTGCCGAGCCCGGTCGACCCGGTTGGCTGAAAGGGGTAGACCCCATTCAGTCTTAGATTCGTTTCGGGAGCCTGGGGGGAGGTGTGAGTCAGACACTCCAGGGAAGAGCTAGACCCGCCCAGATCCTTAAGGGACCAGGGCCGAGAGGTGAATGGGGGAGGGCTGGGCTTCGGGACGTGGTGCTGGGCTCTGCTGGGCTGGGGTGGGGTGGGGGAACGTCTGGAGGAGCAAACACCTAGAGGAACGGGTGCTGCCTGCAGGGCACACACTGTGTGCGAATGAAAGGCTCAGTGGGGTGTAGTTTGAGTTGCCTGCTGGGGGGTGGCGAAGGGGAGTGTCCCAAGCAGGTGCAGGTGGGTGGGGATGGGACAGAAAGATGGAGACTGATTTATTCACTGCCTTCGCCCTCCACAGTAACTACCCCTTCTGCAAATGACAGTAGCACTGTTTTGCCTACATCCACCAGCGCCAGCTCCAGCTCCAATGGCACCCTGGTGAGTGGAGGGCTGTGTGGGAACATGGCAGAGAGGATATTATCCAGGGGTCACACATAGAGCACATTAGCATGCAGAAAGGACAGGACACCCCCTTCCCCCAGAGGTGGCAGGTCAGAGCTTTGGAGAGTTTTAAGTAGGAGAGACCTAAAGGCTTAGACCAGGAAGACTAGGAGACCCTGGAGGGAATAGACAAGAATACTGTACCTGTCAGGTGTGGGGCTCAGAAACTCCACATGCCTCTCAGGTGGGTGGGGAGCAAGCAGCTCAGACTTGGTGGATGTGATGAAAGCAGGAGTCCCCCACCGGGCGTGATGGCTCATTCCTATAATCCCAGCACATTGGGAGGCTGAGGCGGGCGGATCACAAGGTCAGGAGTTTGAGACCAGCCTGGCCAACATGGTGAAACCCCGTTTCTACTAAAAATACAAAAAATTAGCCAGGCATCGGGGCACACATGCCTGTAATCCCAGCTACTCGGGAGGCTGAGGCAGGGAGATTGCTTGAGCCCATGAGGCAGAAGTTGCAGTGAGCTGAGATTGTGCCACTGCACTCCAGCCTGGGTGACAGAGCAAGATTCTGTCTCAAAAAAAAAAAAACAAAAAACAAAAAACAAAGCCAGAGTCCCAGACATGGCAGGTGGTTGGGAGCCTTGGTGCCCCAGACAAGGTAGGCAGGGATCCAGGAAGCCCCAGTGTGGGGACCAGATTACCAGAAGTGGCAGGTGTGTGTGCGTGTAGGTGGGGGGGTGGAGGGGGTAGGGCGATGCCATTCAGGTGGAGGTGGACAGGCTCCCCTGGCTCACGTGATTCACCCCTGTCCTCTCTCTGTAGTCTCAGGAGGCCATCACTGCCATCATCGTGGTCTTCTCCATCCTGGCCGCCTTGCTCCTGGCGGTGGGGCTGGCACTGTTGGTGCGGAAGCTTCGGGAGAAGCGGCAGACGGAGGGCACCTACCGGCCCAGCAGTGAGGAGCAGGTGGGTGCCCGTGTGCCACCGACCCCCAACCTCAAGTTGCCGCCAGAGGAGCGGCTCATCTGAATGCTGGGGCCTGCTGCAGCCACGAACACTACTCAGGAATGCCGGGTGCTGGCTTGTACACCGCAGCTGCCACCGGGACACCAGCCTCTGATGGCTCAGCAGGACTCTGGGGGAGAGGCTGGGGGCACCCACCTGGCGGGCTCTCTGTAGCATGCTGCCTCTGCTTGGCTGTGCCTGCAGCTCAGGGTGCTGGGGCTCGGGACCCACCGCCCTGCTTGCGGAACCAACTTTTCTCTTCGTGTCCTGCAGGCCCCACAACCCCCTCTCCTTTCTTTCAGTTCTCTCATGCGGCCGAGGCCCGGGCCCCTCAGGACTCCAAGGAGACGGTGCGGGGCTGCCTGCCCATCTAGGTCCCCTCTCCTGCATCTGTCTCCCTTCACTGCTGTGTGACCTTGGGGAAAGGCAGTACCCTCTCTGGGCAGTCAGATCCACCCTGTGCTTAGGAATAGCAGGGAAGAAAGTGCTTCAAAGACTCTGCCCCTGAGGTCAAGGGAGGATGGGGCTATTCACTTTTATATATTTATATAAAATTAGTAGTGAGGTGTAATAAAAGCTTTTTTGTGCTTGAGCTGGTGGGGGCATTAGCCTAGATGGAAGTGACAAATGCCAAGAGGAACTGTTGCAAGGATCCCAGGGGATCAGAGGCTTCCCTGCTGGGAGCCAGTTAGAGAGGCTGCCCTTGGAGGGACAGAGGTGGGTGGGATGGGTTTCTAAGCAGAGTGAGGTCACCAAAAAATTCACCAGGAAAAAGATAGCTTTGGGCTCTTACGGCTTTATTGAGGGACTGGGGTCTCCCCTGGACCCCTGATTCCATTTTTTTTTTTTTTTTTTTTTTTTTGAGTCTCACTCTGGCACCCAGGCTGGAGTGCAGTGGCGCGATCTCGGCTCACTGCAACCTCCACCTCCTGGGTTCAAGCGATTCTCCTGCCTCAGCCTCCCAAGTAGCTGGGACTACTGGCGTGTGCCACCACATCCGGCTAATTTGTTATTTTTAGTAGAGATGGGGTTTCACTATGTTGGCCAGGCTGGTCTCAGGTGATCCACCCACCTCAGCCTCCTGAAGTGCTGGGATTACAGGCATGAACCACTGTGCCCGGCTGGACCCGATTCTTAACCCTCAAAGCACTTCTTAAGATCAGCCACTCTGGGCCGGCTGCTGGGCTGGGGCTTTTGCCAGTTGCTGGTGGGGGAATTGGGGGCTCCTGGTTCCTCAAGTGGCTGGAGGGGAGCGTGCTCTGCTAGCAAGGCCTTGGGAGGCTGGGCTCTGGGGTTCTCCAGGAAACTGGGGTCTGAGGAATGATCAAGGAGCTGGGCCGTCCAAGCCGTATCAAAGCTGGGCTTTGTGGGGGCCAGAATTTGGGGGCTCTCTGGAGGGCTGGGCTGGGTGGGTGCGGGGGAGAGCCTAGACGTGGGATTTTCCTGGGCTCTAGAATCTTCAGCTGCCTTGTGGGAAGGGGTGAGATGAAGAATTAGGGGCTCTATGAGAGGAGAGGGTTCGGGGTCCCCCCAGATATGTGGGTCTGCAGAGGCTGGTGAGGTCTGAAATGGAGAGATGACTTGTTGGTCAGACTCTGAGTGTATCAGCTGGGACCTGGGGTCCTTTGAGGAGCTGGTGGCATCCAAAGATGGGGTGTTTTGCAGGGACAGCAGGTCTGCCGGCAGGGACAGGGACAGGGGCTGGGGCTCTGGTAGTTTCTTATCGTCTGGTCGCCATCTTGGTATGTTGGGCTGGGTGGGATGGAGGGATAGGGAAGTTGTGGCTTTTAGATGTCAGAGGGGCTGGCAAGTTGGATGGACCATTAGGAGAAGACGTGGAGTAGGGTTGGGGGAGTGGGCGAGGTTCTCACCAGGCTGAGGCAGCTGTCCAGGTCTCCTCTGTGACAACAGTCTAAACTCTGGCTTGGTCTCAAGCTGCCTGCACTCTTGGCTCCCACGCTAAGACTGTCCAGAATCTCACTCAGCAAATCCAGTTCTTCTCCAGACCCCAAGAAGCTGCTGTCCAGACCTTCTTCTGCCCACGGGCACCCCTCATCCTCGGGTGTTAGAGGGGGTGTCCTGGGTGAGGATGGGTAGCCTCAGATATTTGCCCAAGACCCCCAGACCTGGTGGGGCTGCTCTGGAGTTTGGGAGCCCTCCTCCCCATCAGTCCTAGCCTCCCACTTTCAACACTGCTATTCCACTTTAGTCTTACCCCACCCCTGGGGGCTCAGAAGGTCCCTCTTCCAGTCTGCGTCTCCTGCTGGGGCGAAGGGGCCGATTCTGCAAAGGATAGGGGCCACAGGACCTCAGGAGGCTGCAGAATCTGGGGGCTGAGGCTTGCTGGAGGAAGGTGAGTGTGAAGTGGGTGCCAACTATCAGGGGAGTTGAAGGAGGAGGTGAGCTGTCTGGATAGGGACTGGGATGGGTGGAGGATTCAGTGACAATCCAGGTGTGTGCGGGAGGGGCACTCTCACCTGTCCGAAGTGCTGAGTGATTGGAAGGCGTTGCTGCAGGCGGTCTGAGCGGCTGGAAAGGGCTGGGACCCTCAGGGAGCCCCCCCTCTGCAGGTTAGAGTCCCCATCCTAGGAAGAGAATGCATGAACTGGGAACCTCTGCCAGGGAACCTCCCCCCAGGCCCCACCTTTTTTTTTTTTTTTTTTTTTTTTTGAGACAGTTTCACTCATGTTAGCCAGGCTGGAGTGCAATGGTGAGATCTTGGCTCACTGCAACCTCGGCCACCCGGGTTCAAGTGATTCTCCTGCCTCAGCCTCACAAGTAACTGGGATTACAGGCGTGTTTCATCATGCCCAGCTAATTTTGTAGTTTTAGTAGAGACATTTCATCATGTTGGTCAGGACGGTCTAAAACTTCTGACCTCAAGTGATCCACCCGCCTCGGCCTTCCAAAGTGCTGGGATTATAGATGTGAGCCACCATACCAGTGCATGATCTCGTCTCACTGCAACCTCCACCTCCCCTCCTGGGTTCAAGTGATACTCATGCCTCAGCCTCCTGAGTAGCTGGGATTACAGACGCTTGACACCACACTTGGCTGATTTTTGTATTTTTTTTTAAGTAGAGATGGGGTTTCCCCATGTTGGCCAGGCTGGTCTTGAACTCCTGACATCAGGTGATCTACCCACCTTGGCCTCCCAAAGTGCTAGGATTACAGGTGTGAGCCACCAGGCTCAGCCTCAGTCTTCTTTTTTTTTTTTTTGAGACGGAGTTTCGCTCTTGTTTACCCAGGCTGGAGTGCAATGGCGCGATCTGGGCTCACCGCAACCTCCGCCTCCTGGGTTCAGGCAATTCTCCTGCCTCAGCCTCCTGAGTAGCTGGGATTACAGGCACGCGCCACCATGCCCAGCTAATTTTTTGTATTTTTTAGTAGAGACGGGGTTTCACCAGTGTGACCAGGATGGTCTCGATCTCTTGACCTCGTGATCCACCCGCCTCGGCCTCCCAAAGTGCTGGGATTATAGGCGTGAGCCACCGCGCCCGGCCAGTCTTCTTGTTTTTGAGACAGGGTCTCTCTTTGTCACCCAGGCTGGCATGCAGTGGCGCTATCTAAGCACACTGCAACCTCCACCTCCTGGGCTCAAGGAATCCATGTTCAGCTAATTTTTAATTTTTAATTTTTTTTTTTTTTTTTTTGAGATGGAGTTTGGCTCTTGTTACCCAGGCTGGAGTGCAATGGCGTGATCTCGGCTCACCGCAACCTCCGCCTCCTGGGTTCAAGCAATTCTCCTGCCTCAGCCTCCCAAGTAGCTGGGAATACAGGCACGCGCCACCATGCCCAGCTAATTTTTGTATTTTTAGTAGAGACGGGGTTTCACCATGTTGACCAGGATGGTCTCGATCTCTTGACTTCGTGATCCACCCGTCTTGGCCTCCCAAAGTGCTGGGATTATAGGTGTGAGCCACTGCACCCGGCCTAAATATTTTTTTTTTAGAGACAAGTTCCCACTATATTTTCCAAGCTGGTCTCAAACTCCTGGGCTCAAGTGATCCTCCTGCCTTGGCTTCCCAAAGTGCTGGGATTACAGGGGTAAGCCACCGCACCAGGCCAGCTCGTCTTACCTTATACATTAGAAGGCTCTGTACTCCCTTCAAGCCACTCTTGGCCTATTAAAGAGCAGAGGAAGAATTACCTGAGGTGATGAGATCCTGGGCATTTGAGAGCTCAGACTTCTGTCCCCTAAGATAGCTTTATCTTGCCATCTGTCCATCTCCGTGTCTCAAATATGCTCACCACCCCCCAGACACCACCTAAGAAGTCAGTGCAAACTTTCACCCCTTTGACTAACATAAAACAAGTATTCCCGGAGGAAGTCATCCAGAAACAAAATGGGGAGCAGCAAAGCAACATGGCAAAGCGTTCCTGTCTCACAGCGGCGAAGAATAAAATCGCATGGACAATTTCAAGCTGCAAAAATTGGCACCAGGAAACTTCTAGGCTTGGGGGAAAAAAGGCAGAAGCTGGAACTGTAGCATCGGAGGACAAAGAATGTTTGCCAGTGAACCTTGGCTGTTGGTTTTAAAGGGGAAGGGTAGAATTCCCACAATGAGTATCACAAACACAAAATAAAAGGGGGAAGAGTTGTGAATGGTTTAACTGCTGGTTCAGTTCTGATTAAATCATGTGCCTTTAAAGTGTCTGCCAGGGTCAAAACGTTCCATCCCTTGGGAGATCAAAGTATCCTCTGTCCCCTCCCCCTCGTTACCCCAGCAAGAGTGGCCTGCCCAGCCCAGTCTCACCGAGCGGTACATGTTCTTGACGGCTGGCTGGGTCTTGGCCTTCACTGAATGCAGGAAGGCACCTCCACCTTTCTGGGGGAGAGAAGATACCAAGGGAGACAGGCTTGGGCCAGATCCATCCCACCTCTCCATCCCAGGTCGTGGCATGCTGATCAAGCCCCTTTCCCTCTCTGAGTCCCCATTTTTTCACCTATATAAATGTGATCATAATCATGACCCTACCTGGTGACAGTCATGGGATTAAATTAATCCCATGAGATCCTTAACAAGTGTTTTTGTTTTTTTGAGGTGGAGTCTCAAAGAACAGAGTTTTGTTTGTTTGTTTGTTTTCCTGAGATAGAGTCTTGCTGTGTCACCCAGGCTGGAATGTAGTGGTGCCATCTCGGCTCACTGCAATCTCCGCCTCCTGGGTTCAAACAATTCTCCTGCTTCAGCTTCCCGAGTAGCTGGGATTACAGGCACCCACCACTACGCCTGGGTAATTTTTGTATTTTTAGTAGAGATGATGGGGTTTCTCCATGTTGGCCCAGCTGGTCTGAAACTCCTGACCTCAGGCCAATTCATTTGCCTCGGCCTCCCAAAGTGCTGGGATTGCAGACAGGAGTCACCGTGCACAGCCAACAAGCGGTTTTTGAGACAGGGTCTTGCTCTGTCGCCCAGGATGGAGTGCAGTGGCATGATCACACTGCAACCTCTGGCTCCTGGGCACAAGCCATCCTTCTACCTAGGCCTCTTGAGTAGCTGGGACTACAGCCACACCTGGCTAATTGTGTTTTTGTGTGTGTTGTTTTTTTTGTGTTTTTTTTTTTTTGAGACAGAGTCTTGCTGTTGC